CCCCCCCATATATTTTATTGGTACATTATCCTTACACATAATCATAGGATTTGGGGGCTGAGGATGTGGCTCAAGTGGTAGAGCGCTCGCCTAGTATGCATGAAGCACTGGGTTCGATTCTCAGCACCACATAAAAACAAAGATATTGTGTCCACCTAAAACTAAAAAATAAATAATAATTAAAAAAGATCAGTARTTATCACAGTAAAAGTCAGAAGATTTACTACTCTTTAAAAAAATATCATAGGATTTGTTGTTACATATTTGTACATGCATGGCCAATCTCTTTAACCTTATGCTTGTCAGGTATACAAGTATTTCAAATAAAAGAAGAGAACACATCACTAGGGTTATAGTCATTAGCCACATGGTATGAACTTTGGAGTATATAAAATAGTAAATATGCCTATTCTCTGAAAGAAATCAGCTAAAGCATATAAACTCTTAAGAACATGGATATTCATTTTCAGAATGAATGCTGAATACCTGAACTATAAAAGAGACATTTAGCTCAGTATTATTAGGATTAAAAATAACAACAAATATACAAAACAAAACCAAAATTAGCACATTCATAACATCAGAACTGGTACACAGTAAATTAGATGCAATGCAAAAGTTATGTACAGCCGGGTGCGGTGGTGCACACCTATAATCCCAGTGGCTCAGGAGGCTGAGGCAGGAGGATCATGAGTTCAGAACCAGCCTCAGCAACTTAGTGAGACTGCCTCTAAATAAAAAGTAAAAAATAAAAAGGGATGGGGATGTGGTTCAGTGGTTAAGCACCCCTGGGTTCAATTCTCAGTACAAAAAAAAAAAAAAAAAGCCCTGTAATAAAACAAAAAACTTGCTGCAGCCTCAGTCATAGAGCCCTTGTGTGATACTCTGTATTCTATCTCCAGCACAGCAAAAAGGAAAATAAAACTATTCTCTTTATGAAATAGGATGATCTTAGTCTTCAAAATTCTCTTTATCCACTCCCCATGTCTATTAGGCAGAGTTATTGCAATGAAAAATTAGAAAACTTTCTGGTGCTCTTTCATTCTTTATATAAAACAATTTTTAGGACACACAATGTACCATAAATTTACTTGTGATTTAAATTTACTTTTTAAATAATATCTAAGCAAATATGCACTAATCAGGTAATATCTGTACATGCCAGGTGAAAGGCCATGTACGATTTTGTACATAAAAATTTTGTCTATGGAAATTTTAATAACTTTTTACTAATTTATAAATGACATGTTCGTTATGGAAAATTTAGGAAAAAATAAGTATAATCACACTAGATAACTATTAAAGTTTTTTTGATAAATTTCATTCTAATCATTTTGCAGTTTTCTATTTTCTACATCATTGATGCCTACATAAAATGAAATCCAGTAGCTACACTATGTGCATTTATATAAATTGAAACCATGAGTGTTTACGATTCCCAATTATGAGCATAGGCTTGGAGTAAGAATGCAATGGGAGAGCATTCTATTCTTTTAGTCTCAGCACTTAAATCTGTGTGARTACCTATTAATCTGTAACATTTAAACATTAGAATTTGGTATTTCTCCACATATATGGCTCCTAATCAAAGAAAGAGCTACCCTACACTGGAAGGAAAATTGGCTTTGGTGGAATAAGACAGGATACATGTCAATACACCCTAAGAAATTTTCAAAAGTAATCATGACTACCCAAAACTTTGCCTAACATGCTGACAAGACTATAACTCAAGTAATGTTCTTGCACTGCACTATAAACCCTTTCTATATTATCAACATTTACATTGTTTCTAAGTTATCCTCCAAATTAGAAATATTGACAAGAGTTATAAGTCAAAAATTTTTTTCTATATCCCTGTTCCTCAGAGAAGTGATGCATTTTACTAGATCTAACAGTATTACATGCATTTTTTAAAAAGGATTTTTGTGTTTGTTTGTTGCTTTATAGACACAACCCAGAAACCAAATCAGCTGGGCATGGTGATGCAYGCCTGTAAACCCAGCAGCTCAGGAGGCTGAGGCAGGAGGATCAAGAGTTCAAAGCCAGCCTCAGCAAAAGTGAGGCACTAAAGCAAGTCAGTAAGACTCTGTCTCTAAATGAAATACAAAATAGGGATGGATATGTGGCTCAGTAGTTGAGTGTCCCAGAGTTCAATCTCCAGTACCCTCCAAAAAAAACCCCAAATCAAAGATTTTGTTAAAAAAAAAAAAAAAAAAAAAGGGAGCTGGGGGTATAGCTTAGTGGTAGAGTGCCTGCCTAGTATGAATGAGGCCCTGGGTTCAGTCAAGCCCCAGCACTGCAAAAGAAGAAAAGAAAAAGTTTTACAAATTATGTAACCATATGTATATTGTGACATAATATGTAAAACAAAACTGATTAGGTATTTAAATGCATGGAATAAAGTTTGCTTATCTTGTTAAGAGAATGGGATAAATAAAAATAATTTGATATTTTTAAAAGCTATTATAGCTGGGCATAGTGGCACATGCCTATAATCCCAGGGGTTCGGGAGGTTAAGGCAGGAAGATCATAAGTTCAAGATCAGCCTCAGAAATCTAGTGAAGCCCTAAGCAACAAAACAACAACACAAAAGGGCTGGAAATGTAGCTTACTGGTAAAGTGCCCTGGGTTAAATTTCCAAGACTAAAAGAAAAAGTATATATTCATATACCATAATAACAAAAAAAGTACTTTAAAATTTAAGTACTGGGCTGGGGATATAGCTCAGTTGGCAAAGTGCTTGCCTTGCATCCACAAGGCCCTGGGTTCAATCCTCAGCACCACAAAAAATAAAATAAAATTTAAATACTTACTGTGTAATTGAATTTTGAACACTCTTTTCATTTAAAGTCATCCCAGGAGGTGGGTCATTTTGCAAAGCCAACAATTCTTTCTGTAGTCGTTTCTAGAAAAGATTATCAATAGCAATTTGTATTTTATTTTTAACAATATAATTTCTTTCTAGTTATACAGTCTGAAATTACTGATCAAATTTCCTCCAAATGTTCATATATCATCTTTACAAAACCCTTATATCTTCTATATATCTTATACATACCTAATTCTCAAAACCTGAATGGTTTGCCCTGCAATTCATAATCTAATGTCAGAATATTTCAACACCAATGCTGTGAAGTTCTGAAGAGCAGTTACTTATAAAAACATCAATTCCATAGCTACTCTATGAAAATTATAGTTTTAACAGTCTAGATATTCTCCATAATTTTCAAAGAATATATCATCTCAGACAAGCTTTCCAGAGAAACATTAAACTTCTTGTAAAAAAAAAAAAACTTTTGAAAACTTTAAAAATTATTTATGATCAAATAGCCATAATTATTTTCTTAAATAGGATCATTTGCACATAATCTTCTGATTGTTATGTTGTTTACTACACAACATTAGAATATAACATATCTAATGGCACAGATATGGAATATGGATTTTGCATTCTCATTTGTATAGTTTTCACTGTGTATCTCTTCCCTCGATATCATTAATAAACATACTTCTTCAGTGTATACCAAAGCAAAAAAACAAAAACCTCATCAGTCCATAGGTTGTGGGTTGAAAGTTCACTTTCAAACTTGAACTGAAATAACAGCAGTGGGGATACAGTTCAATATCAGAGTGCTTGTATAGTATGTGCAAGACCCAGCATTAAATCCCCAGCACTGGGGAAAAACAAAACCAACAACAAATAACCAAAGTTATTACAATCAATTTTGTGTATGATTATAAATACTCTAATTTTTCCCCCAGTATGGGGGGATTGAATCCAGGACCTCTCACATGCTAGGCACGTGCTCTCTCACTGGGAGATACTTTCCCAGCTCTTTTTACCTTTTATTTTGAGACAGGGTCATGATATGTTGCCCAGGCTATCCCTGAACTTAGACCCTCCTGCTTCAGCCTTCTAAGTAGCTGGGTTTACAAGTGTAAATTCTTGGAGTAAACAGAACAACCAAGCATAAATATCTGTTCATAATTCAGAGTTCTCTCCTTAATAACACCTGTAATCACAGTAGTTTGGAAGGTTCAGGGAGAAGGATCGCAAGTTAGAGGCCAACTTCGTGAGATACTGCCTTAAAATAAAGAATTAAAAGGACTAGGGATGTAGCTCAGTGGTGAAGTACCTCTGGGTTCAATTCCTAGTATAAAACAAACTGGCTTCTGCTTTTTTTTTTTKACAATTAAATATTATAACCAATATAGTAATGTTTCTATGTCTTTTTGATTCATGGCATCTATAAAGTGCTTATAGTCATTTTGATAGCACAACAGATAAAATTTTGATTATATAAAAATATAAAAATCTGCCTGAATAAGGAGGCAAAATATTTGCAACAAATTTCTACACTTGAACAAGGGTTTTAACGGGTTCTACTAATGTTAACAAATATGCAATCAAGTACTGCAATCAAGTAAACTTTAAAAAAGAACCCGTCCCAATATGGAATGCATCTCTGAGAAACCTTACTTCAATGATCATATTGAATGGGGAATATTTCTATGGAAATCCTCCAAATTATGAGAACTTTACTTTAAAAAGAAAGACATTATATACTAATCAGTCAGTTTCCCTCAACTTGAAATGCTGATGCTTTCCAAACATAAACTCATAATGTAAAACCAAGTTTGAATATAAAAAATGTTGCCTTAGGCACAATCATGAAATGAAGATATACTGAATTAATATAAAGGTCAACAGTTTCAAAAATATTTTTTAGTCATAGATGGACACAATATCTTTATTTTTATTTATTTATTTTTATGCGGTGCTAAGGATTCAACCCAGGGCCTCCCATGCATGTGAGGCAAATGCTTTACCACTGAGCTACAAACCCAGCCCAAGATGAACATTTTTAAGTTATCAAAAAATATAAAAATAAATGTTAGTAACATGGATAATGGGCTCATAAGCCCATATGACCCTTTAGTAAGTAGTTCTGGCAGTTTGATATCTTTATTTTTACTTGTTTTAACTGTCATCGGTTTAGTCACTTGTCAGTGACTGTTTTTCTTTTTTCCTTTTTTGTTGTTTCCCTGTTCCCAACCCCTGCCCTCACTTAATGAATACATCTATTTATTTTAGTAAATAAACGCATTATTTTGGTGCAACAAACCTTATCTCCAGTGATGGCAYTAATACTAGATAACATTTATTGCTTTATATGATTTTAAACTATATTATACTGCCTCACTGAAACTAAGAAAATTAGAAACAGTCAATTCTTCATAAAATGAAAAGCACCAACCACCAACAGTTTCACAACCACAATCTGTTTAGCAATGTTAAACCACATTTTAATCTTCAGTTTCTGATTATTCTCATCAATGCAATAGTTCAGACAGCTGAGGATGACAGGTTGTCAACAAAGTACTGCTGTAACTGTTTAACAATTAGTGATTTAGCAAGACGCTGTCTCAAAATAAAAATAAAGGTCTGGGGTTGCAGCTCCATTTGCCTAGCACATGAGAGGGTTCTATCCTCAGCGCATTAAAAAAAAAAAAAAAGGATATTGTGCCATCTACAACTAAAATTATTTAAAAATAAATAGGTAAATAAAAGAGCCGGGAATGTGGCTCAGTGGTAGAGGTCTCTGGGTTCAATTTCCAGTACCACAAAATAAATTGAAAAAGCAAGCTATGTATTTTCAATAACATCCTAAAAAGCTCTTTCATTCTAAACTAGTCCAGCTTCTAAATCATATCTTTGATGAAGATCARTTCATGAGGGCTTCCAAGTACCAATTTCTTATGGAATATTCAGACTGATAGCTAAAAACAACAGAATCTACCAGAGCAGAAGAATGACTGTTTAATTCAACTGAGGAGTGGTATGCATACTACCATGAAACCAACATATGTGCCTTAAACCATCCTGGCTCCAAGAACCAGAGCTTACAACTCCAGAATCAAACCTTAATTTCTCAAGGTACAACAAAAACATATTTGGTGTTCTGGAAATTACACTTCAAATAAAATATTTAAGTTACCTAGAAACCTTGACTCAGAGTGAAATAAAATAACAGTTTTCTGCCATCTATTTTTCTCCCCTTCATCCTTGTATTTCATTCCACAGATGAAAAGCAATAATCAGTACAAAATCTGATAGAGTTGACGTTTAATTTATGCTAAACTTTTTTTTGGAAGAATATTTAAATATTTTCTTCTAAAGATACATTTTTTGTTTGTTTGTACTGAGGATTGAACTGAGGGATACTCAACCACCAAGCCACATCTTCAGTCCTATTTTGTATTTTGAGAGCATCTCACTGAGTTGCTTAGCGCCTCATCAGGCTGGCTTTGAACTCGATCCTCCTGAGCCACTGGGATTATAGGCGTGCACCATTGCACGCACTGGCTAATTTTTTTTTTTTTTTTTACTTTCTATATTTTGCTAGGCTACTGTTAAAATCTGGATTTAGAATGCTTCCCAAAGGCTCCTATGTTGAAGGCTTGGTCCCCAAGCTGCCACAAAGTGAACAGCTTTGCTCTACCACACCCTCCTGGCCATGGTGTTCTGCCTCAACACAGGCCCAGAAACAATAGAACCAATTAAGTGACCACGGACTTAAACCTCTGAAACTGTGAACCAAAATAAATCTCTTTTACTCTTTCTCAGATATTCTGTCACAGTGACAGAAAGATGATTAATACAGCCACCTACAGAGATTTTGGTAAACATCAATAAATAATTTACTCAAGCAAATAAAATGTCAAAAAAAATCACAAAATATGCTACGGAGTAGAAAATGTAGATGCGTACAGACAGGGCGTGTTACACAACAAGCCTTAAATAATAAGTATGCAAAATAAAATGATAGACGGTACTGTCCTCATTAAGAAAAATACTGGTTTGACCTACAAATTGAACTGCAAATCTTTCACAAGAGACAAGAATTAGATGTGAGTATACTAGGATATTATTTGTTCAAAATGTAGGCAAAATGAAAACCTAAAAAAGTATAAATTAGGTGCTAGAGGGGTATACTGTGGTCTGAATGTTTRTGTCCCTCCAAAATCCAAGTTGAAATCTCTGATGTGTTGGTATAAAAAGAGGTGGGACCTTTGGGAGGTCACTAGGTCACAAGGGTGCAGTCTATATGAGTGGGATTAGTGCCCTATGAAAGTGGCCTGCAGAAACTTCTTTCTCCCTTTCCCCAAGTAAGGACACAGCTAGAAGGTGCTGCCTATGTGGAACAGGCCTTCACCAACACCAAATCTGCCATGTCTTGAACTTGTACTTTCCAGCCTCCATAACAGTCAGGAATAAATTTCCGTTTTTTATGAACTACCTAGTCTAAGGTATTTTGTTATAACAGCCCAATAGAATATATTTAATTGGAAAACTCAATTTCTGGTTTCAAAAAGTATATATGTAACTTCAGATGATAATAATCTATATCTTAATATTTTCATAATTAAACATCAACCTCACATTGATATTTATTTATTCACTCATTTATTTGGCACTAGGGACTAAACCCAGGGATGCTTTACCTCTGAGCTGCTACATCCCCAGCCCTTATTATTTATTCATTTATTTTTTTGGTACCAGAGATTGAACTGAGGGACACTTGACCACTGAGCCACATCCCCAACCCTATTTTCTATTTTATTTAGAGACAGGGTCTCACTTTGCTTAGCACCTCGCTTTTTACTGAGGCTGGCTTTGAACTGTGATCTTCCTGTCTCAGCCTCCCAAACCGCTAGGATTATAGGCGTGAGCCACTTGCCCAGCCCAGCCCTTTTTATTTTGAGACAGGGTCTCATTCAGTTGCTGAAGCTGGCATTAAACTTGCAATCCTCCTGCCTCAGGATCCCGAGTCACTCAGATTATGTATGACATGCACCCCCCCTTAAATTGTTGTTGAAGCATAGAATGAATGGTCTAGAAAA